AAAACATCCCTGAGACTGAAGTCCAGGAAATTACTGCCTTATATTTTATATTTTATTTTAGGAGTGTTATAGTTTTAAGTCTTACCTAGCTGTTTTTTTTTTTTTCTTAAATGTTTTTTTATTTCTAGGAGAGAGAAAGAGCGCGCGAGCAGGGGAGGGCCAGAGAGAGGGAGTCACAGACTGAAACAGGCTCCAGGCGTCTGAGCTGGCAGTCAGCACAGAGCCCGACGCGGGGCTCGAACCCACAAACCGCGAGATCATGACCTAAGTGAAAGTCGGATGCTTAACCGACTAAACCACCCAGGCGCCCCTTACTTCTAGCTCTTTAATCTATTTTATTTTTGTGTGTTGTGCAAAAAAATGGTCCAGTTTCATTCTTTTGTATATTGTTGTCCAGTTTTCCCAGCATCATTTATTGAAGAGACTGTGTTTTCCCCTTTATGTATTCTTTCTTCTTTATCATAGATTAATTGACCATATACGGGTAGTTTTATTTCTGGGCTCCCAGTTCTGTTTCATTGATCTATATTTCTTTTATGCCAGTACCATAATGTTTTGATTGCTATAACTTTGTAGTATAGTTTGAAATGGGAGTGTGATACCTCCAGCTTTGTTCTTTCTCAGGATAGATGTGGCTGCTCGTGGTCTTTTTTGGTTCCATACATGGTTTAAGAATTTTTTTGTTGTTGTTCTAGTTCTGTAAAAAAATGCCATTAGTATTTTAATAGGGATTGCATTAAATCTGTAAATTGCTTTGGGTAGTATGAACATTTTAGCAATATCAGATCTTCCAGCCCATGAGGATGGGATATCTTTCCACTTACTTGTGTCATCTCCAGTTTCTTTTATGAATGCCTTACAGTTTTTAGAGGGTAGGTTTTTCACCTCCTTGACTGAATTTATTCCTAGGTATTTTATTTTTCTGATGTAGTTGTAAATGGAATTTTTCTTAATTTCTCTTTCTGATAATTTGTAATTAGCGTATAGAAATGTAATAGATTTCTGCATTTTAATTTTGTATCCTGTGCCTTACTGATATCACTTACTCTAATAGGTTTTTCATGAAATCTTTAATGTTCTTCATACGTAGTATCATGTCATCTGCAAATAGTGCCAGTTTTAACTTCTTTCTTGCAATTTGGATGCCTGACTTTCTCGTGTGATTGCTGTGGCTAAGACTTCCAGTACTATATTGAATAAAACTTACAGGAGTGGACATCCTTGTCTTGTTCCTGATCTTAGACAAAAAGCGTTCAACTTTAACCATCGAACATGATTTTACCTGTGGGTTTGTCCTACATGGGTTTTATTATGTTGAAGTATTTTTCGTCTGTACCCACCACTATGATCTAATGTATTGTTGAATTTTGTTCAATAATATGTTGTTGAGAATTTTTGCATCTATTAAGGCTTGAGTTTTGCTTTGACATCATTTTCTCATTTTGTATCAGGGTAGTGCTAGTCACATGAGCTTAGAAGAATTCCCTCTTGTTTCTTAGAAGAGTTCAGAAGGATTGACATGAATTCTTCTTCTTCTTCTTCTTCTTTTAATGTTTATTTATGAGAGACAGAGACAGCGTAAGCAGGGGAGGATCAGAGAGAGAGAGAGGGAGACACAGAATCCAAAGCAGGCTCCAGGCTCTGAGCTAGCTGTCAGCACATAGCCCAACGCAGGGCTCGAACCCACAAGCTGTGATATCATGACCTGAGCTCAAGTCGCACGTCCAACTGATTGAGCCACCCAGGTGCCCCTGACATGAATTCTTCCTTGAGTGTTTGCTAGAATTCATCAGTGAAGTCATCTGGTCTTAAGATTTTTATTTGTTGGGAGGTTTTTAATTATTGATAACAGTCTCCTTGCTAATAATTTGTTCAGATTTTTTCTTCATGATTGTTTTGATAGCTTACATATTTCTAGGAATTATCCATTTCTTAGAGGTTGTCAAATTTGTTTGATGGATAATTGTTAATAGAAGTCTCTGTATATGATTTTTTATATGTCTGGTATTTTTATAATGTCTCCTTATTATTTGTGATTTTTGAATCCTCTTTTTTCAAGCCCCTTAACTTTATTGAAACTTGTTTTATAGTCCAGCACATGGTCTACTTGAAAATAATTTGAATTTTTCAGTTGTTGATGTAGTTTCTATAAGTGTTAAATCAAAATGTTGATATTGTTGCAGATCTATATTTTCTAATTTTTTGTCTCGTTCTATAAACTGATGAAGTTTAATATTACCTTATATTTTTGTGAAACTATTTTTTATTTCTGTCATTTTTTCCTCTCCTGTATTTTGAAACTTTGTCATTAGACACCGTACATCAGTAATTCTCTCTTTAGTTGATATTAAGATAGACACTCCATCCTCCTTACTCCTACTTTTTGCATGATATATCTTTTTATATCCCTTTATTTTCAACCTATCTGTATATGTCTTGCAGGCAGCATATAATAATAGGGTTTTCTTTTTTAAATCCATTTTGTCAGTTTATGGCCTTTAATTGTAGTGTTTAACCTGAGTTAGCAAACTGGGTCCCTCAGTTCAAATCCTTGTTTAGGAAATTAAAATTAATTGGAACACAGCCACATACTATTTTTCTGTGGCTGCTTTTGCATTATTGGACTGAGTAGTTGTGACAGAGACTGTGTGTTCCGAAAGTCCCAAATATTTACTATTATGTATTTTAGAGAAAAAGTTTGTTGATTCCTGACTTAGACCATTAATATTTAAGGTGATGTGGTTGGATTTAGGCCAATTATTCTTTGTCCCATTTTTTTTCCTTTTTCTGCCTCCTTTTGGATATTTTTTAATTTTTGTTGGTATTTGATTATATCTGTTGGGTTTTTAGCTATATTTTCTTGTATTTTTAGGTTGTTGGTCTAGGGATTACAACATCTAACTTAGTGTACTTGTTGATATACTACTTCATGCAAAATGGTGATGGTAGAACCTTGCAACCCTGTGTTCCTTCCTTTACACCATTGCACTGAACTTTTTGTTGCAGTTGTATGCATCATATTCTCAACCAGACAGTGTCATAAGTTTTGCTTTTAACAGTCATACTCATAAAACTCAGAGGGGAAAAAAAGGAGGCCATTATATTTGTCCAGCTACTTACCCTTTTTCTTTTATTCTTCATTTATGAATAGTAAAGTTTCTGTCTAGTATCATTTCCCTTCAACCTGAGAAGCTTCCTGTACATTTCTTATAGATCAACTCCAATAATGACAAATTCTTCTAATTTTTTCTCTTTTCTGGAAATGTCTTTTAACTTCACAAGTATTCCAGGATATTTCCACTGGTGAGGTGTAAGGGAAAAAAAAAAACACCGTTTTTCCTCTGCTCTCAGTACTGTGTATATTCATAACACTTCACCTCTGACATTAGATGTGTGGTTTTTCCACAAATCAAGCAATTCTCTGCAACACCAGCTGGGTTATCCTACAATTTAATTCTATTTTCACTAACTGGAATTAGTGCAGACCCCACAGATTAAGGGCTCAGGCTCACAAGACTACCCTCTACTTCATATGGCAGTTGCAAATGGTAGGACCCTGAATTACCCATAACTTCTATCCAAGTTGGCTACAAATTGGAGATTCCAAAATCTCCCTTTTTGGACTTGATCATTTGCTAGAACTGCTCACAGAACTTAGGGTAAACGAACATTTATCTCAGTTTATTATATAATAAAAGATATAATAAAGGATACAGATAAAGAGCCAAGTGAAATGATACATGGGGCAAGGTCTAGAAGGATCTCAAATGTGGGAACTTCTGTCCCTGTGGAGTTGGGGTGGGCCACCCTCCTGGTACATAGATGTGATAGATGTGTTCACCAACCCAGAAGATCTCCAAACCCCATACTTTTGGGATTTTTATGAAGGCATCATCATGCAACACGATCAGTTGTTAATTCAGTCTCTAGTCCCTCCCCTCCTAGGAGGAGTGGAGGTTGGGCTGAAAGTTTCAAGCTTCTGATCATGGCTTGGTCTTCCTGTTGACCACCCCCTGTCCAGAGGTCCACCAAAAGTCACCTCCATAGAACAAAGGACATTTCTGTCACCCAGGAAATTCAAAAGTATTTTAAAAGCTGTATGTCAGAAACCAAATCATTTGAACAAAAGATGCTTCTAGTATTCTTATCACTTAAGAAATTACAAGGATTTTAGTAGCTTTGTGCCAGGAACCAAGGACAGAGACCAGTATATGAGGTTGTCATTTCTTTTGTGTTAGTACTTTAAATCTATTGCTCTGCTGGCTCAGCAAGTGGTCTTTTGTGGTGATAGTTTCTGATAAGAAATATGCAGATATTTGAAGCATTGTTCTTATTCCCCTTTAAAGATAGGGTGACTCGGTCGGTTGAGCATCCAAACGTTGATTTCCACTCAGGTCATGAACCCAGGTCATGGGATTGAGCCATACTGTGAGTGGAGCCTGCTTGAGATTCCCTCTGTCCCTCTCCCATTTGTACTCATGCTTGCTTACTCAGTCTTTAAAAAAAAAAAAAAAAAAAGAAAGGAAAGAGGGACTCTATCTTAGCTCTTTTTCACCATTACCTAGCACACCTCTTATACTCAAATGTATAATAAATTTTTCTTGAATTTTCATATATTTTAAGTAAGTTAATGAAGACCAGATAGGCTTATTAGGGTTCCATTTTGCCAGGGTCTGAATTGCCCAACAGGTGTGACTGCTGTTATATTTTATAATACAAGATCCCTTCATTAGTTATAAGTAACCAGAGGAAAGAAGCCATGCATTAACCAATTTTCTGAAATAGTTCTCCCCCTTCTATTTCCTTGGTTATTTGGCTTCCTTTCCATGTAAAAGGAAAATTGGGGGCAGTTTCCAAATTTTTTGCCTTCTGCATAGAAACTAGTCATCATTTTATAAAATAATGGATTATTAAGGGATATGCAGAAAGAAATGAACCAAAAGATGCTCTGGAAAAGTTATATATTTTGTAACATTGCGTATGATGTTTAATTTCTATAGAGAGAATTAAATACAGCAGAGATTTCCTGTTGAAGCTCTCAAGTGTTTCCATCTGCAGAAAAAAACCAGACTTTCTGCCTGATCATCCCATTGTGCTTAAAAAACCAGTAAGTAGTGTTCTAATTTTATATTCTAAAATATTTGTCTTCAATATTTCACTAGATTCTCACTAGATTTTTAATCTTATTATGAAATACAATTCAGAAAAGTACATATAAATGTATATTATAACCAATTACTCCAATAATAGAATGGAATTGTATTTTTTTTTTTAAATGTTTTATTTATTTCTAGGAGAGAGAGAGAGAGAGAGAGCGTGAGCAGGGGAGGGTCAGAGAGAGAGGGAGTCACAGACTGAAACAGGCTCCAGGCTCTGAGCTGGCAGTCAGCACAGAGCCTGGAATTGTATTTTTAAGAAATAGTTTTTCATTGAAAGATACAGAACATCTCATATCATCTTCTAAAAGTTCTATTGTTTTTCAGTTAAATTCTTTAGTCCATCTGCAGTTGATTTTACTGTATGGTGTGAGGTAGGGGTCAAGTTTTATGTTTTTCTACATGAATATCCAGTCATCCTTGCTATATTTGTTGAAAGGATAGTCCTCTACCATCTTTGTGGCAATATATCTGTGATTTGTTTTTGGGCTCTCTACTCTTCTCAGTATTTCTATACGGTAAAACAAGTCATCCTTCTTCTTCAGTATGTCTTTGCTGTTCTTAGTGCTTTGTATTTCTGTGTCACTGCATCAAATTTCATCAGAATGAATACAATACACACACATCTTTTAGGATATTGATTGGAAAGGGCATGAGTTTGGTATCAGACTTGGGTTCAAGTTGTAGCTTCACCTTGTGTACTAATGTATCATTGAAACTTAAGTCATTTGACCTGCATCTGTTTTGTGATTGTAGATAAGGCTGATAATCTCTAGTTGTTAGGATTAAATGAAATGTATGGAAGAGCTTGGTATGGTACTTAGCTCTCGTAGTACTTATGCTCTTAGTAAATGGTCTTTATTTCCATTTCTAGAAGAAGTTGACTTTAGAATTTTCACCAACTATTTTATGCGGGTAAATATGTCATGGAGATTAACTCAGAATATAGATATGCTGAGAATGGCTCAAATGTGAGACATAACATACTTCCTGTGCTTTCCATTTTTGGGATTTCTAAGCCATGGGAATCCAAAGCCTTTTTTTCCTCTTAGAATTTTTAAAATTTTAACTTAGATAACTAGTTTATTTTAGTTATTTAACTAAAACAACTTAGTGTATTTTAGTGTTTCCTAAAGTCCTCTACCTTATAGAACTCTCAATTTTTCAAAATTTAGGCATAAATTTCAACATACCTTGCACACAGGAATGTTTTATCATGAAAAATGTCCTTAATGATGTTAACATTTTCCGTCCTGTTCAGAGGTCTCAGGAGTATGTATGAGAAAATCCAAATGTCCATGCTATATAAATTACTGTCAGGTTTTCATTTGCAGACTTATTTCATCTCGTAACATTTTATTTTGTAAATAAAAGTTTGACATACACATTATTTTGAACAAACTAGGTACCAGAGAAACAGAACAAGTTTGAAATACAATCTAGTATAATTTAAAAATGAATTACATGTTTTATTAAACACAGAACTGTTTTGACAAATTCCAGTTACTTGAATACTTTGTATAGCAACATGCATTTAAGATCTGTAAACACTTAATAGGGTCACAGTAGTTGGTTTGATAAACTAGTAAAAACTGTATTCATTCAATCTAATTGATAAATTAACTTTTTCTTCTGTGTTACAGGAAAACCACCAAAGTTTTAAGTAGCATTTTAAGAACAGATGAATTTGAAGATAATTACTTGTTTTATATTTTGGACACCTGCAAATGAAGTGGATATAGTAACAATAACTGTAATGGACTGTGACAATTCAGTATAATTTTGATGGTTGGGTATTTGGTTTCTCCTAAAATGAGAAAGGTATTTTAAACTATAAAGAATTTTCTAATCAGTTTCAACTTTGCAGGCAGTTTCCTGCATAAATTGGGAAGTAACACTGGAAAGTAGGAATTTGGTTAGTAAAGTGGGAAGACTATTTATAATTTGCATGCTACTTGCAATTTTTTTTTTGTTTTGTTTTTCATCTCTTGTAATAATGGACTGGAAATGTAAGCTGTAAAGATTCTCAAATATAAAGTATTTGCTATGATGTATATATGGTACATAATTTCGTTGCTTTTAAAGTTGCTTTTGTTCTTTTTGCCACTGATTTCATACCAGCACTTTGAAAGAATCTTTACAGTCTCTCCAGAGGCTAAGAGTGATTCAGGATATTCAATGCATAGTTATCCGTGACAGGAAACAATGTTGTAACAGGCAGTTCTTTGGTCTCTAGTTTTTTGATAACATTGTTTAGATTCACAATTATTACCAGAGATTGTCAATTTGGAAACAGTGAAACTGAAAAATAGCTGCTACTGTGTTTTCTCTAATCAGACTACATGAACAGAAGTTGGGCAATTCCAAAATAAAACTGATATTTTTATTTCCAAAAGAGGAAAAATTTAGGCATTTGCAAATAATTGAGGTACATTAAGTTTCAATTCTATAATTTCTTATAACAAAAACACATATGGATGTAGAATTTGGGGGTTTAAACTTTTAGCTCCTAAAATTTTATATAAATTTCTGCATTTTGTCACCTGGATGAAAGACAAGGAAGTTTCTTCCAGCATAGTATCAAAAAAAAATTGCTGATGTAAAGGTAAGTGTAAATCTCAGATCCCCAGTTCTACTGGCAAGGCATTCAAGACCATCATTTGGCAGAAATTTATCTTCAACTGAATTCTGAACTCCTAAAACCAGTACCTTTCTCCTCACCGGTCTTTGGGCTTGTTACCTAAACTTTTAGTCCATGGGAGGCTTCCTGTCTTGGTCTTTTAGTACACTACTGTTCATTACTTTTGTTCCCCATAAAAAGATTTTTTAATAGGAAAAAGCCCATAAATTTAATTAAAAGTGATACATTTATACCTAGGGCCCAGGTTTTTCATTTATTTTCTGTCCTATTTTCCCTTTTCATATACACACACACACACACACACACACACACACACACACTGTATTCACATTCTCACAAACATAAAAATTTATATATAATTAATTTGTGTAAAAGCTGGGGTCAGATTGCCATATAATAAAATTGGTTTGCTTTATCATTTACCTATTCTCAAAGTTGTTTTTGACTCTAGTTAAAAAAAACTATGATAGAACCTATTCTAGTTTGGAATCTAAACAGCCATTCTGCTCAGCACTGTTACAAGGGCAGAAACCTTTTTGAAGTCATACCACCATTGTACTTCGAAAACTGCCTCATACTCAGAAGACAGAAGACTGAGGTACTTCCTGAATCTAATACTATCTATCTTTTTATTGGCTATAATTTGTATTTTTTGAAACCATTTATAACCAACCTTTTCAAGAAGAGTTTGTCAGAAGTCACTGTATATAATCAGAGTGAGACTGCAAAGACTGTGCTGTTATCTGTTTGCCTTTGTACATATGTATAGTTTGTTTGAATAATCATTGTACATCATCTCCATTAATGTTCTCTGCTTTGTATATAAATTAAAAGAGTTAAGCCAGGTCTGGTTTCATAGTGTTTGTCATCTGTAGAAATGACTAGAGATCTACACACATATATACACGTGCGCGCACACACATTTGTGTCTGTGTATGTGTCTATATGTCAAAATTTACTGCTCTTGTCTAGTAGAAGCTATGAAAAAAATAATTTTATTTAGAGTGAATGAGGACAGAGGGTACACAAAGGTACTGATAGGAGTTAGTGTTTCATAAATTAGCTTGAGAAAATGTTGTAGGTCAAATTTTATATTAAAAAATAAAATTTTAGTTCAACCTTCGAGTTTTCCAACATTAAAAAAAAAAAAAATTTTTTTTCCTTGACCTGTGGTTTCAAAGGAATTTGGATTAGAGAATAACGTGGCAACAAACTCCCATATGTACTGGATTTTCACCAGCAGCATTTATCAGAATGGATTCTACTAAAAATATGTATATATGAGCTTGTACAGAAGAGTATTATTACCTACAAGGTTAACTGTTCTAGAGAAATTAGAATCACTGTCATTCTTGTGTTGAAACTGGGAAATGTTTTCTGTCCAATATCTTACCCATTTTATTACTTCCCTAATTTAGATTTTTCCTTGTTCACCTAGGTTAAAATTTTTTTAAATATTTTGAAAGTGCAAATGTTATTTTTATAAGAAAATTAGTCCTCTGAATCATATGCCAAAAATTTGAACCTGATTTTCTCAAACTAAGACTCTCCTCTTTTCTTGATTTGTTGAACATACAGGGAACTATGATGCTAATAAATGATACAATGGTGTTAATATTACTAAATGGTACCCTAACTATCACAGAATTATTCACTTGCAAAAAACCAGTTTATAACCTGACAAGTATATAGAGTCTGTACATTATAGCCAAGACTGTTGTTGTATGCTCATGTATTAACTTTTTTTTTTTTTAAAGCTTAAACAACAGAAAGGCATTTTTCTCACAGTTGTAGAGACAGGAAGTCCAAGACCACGGTGCTAGCAGGGTTGATTTCTTCTGGGGCCTCTCCTCGGTTTGCTGTTGGCACCTTCTTACACTGTCCTCCTGTGGCCTTTTCTCTATGTAAATGCATCCCTGCCGTTGCTCTCTCTGCATATAAGGACATCATTTTGGATTATGTATTAGCTTTTTCAGTAAATACTCATAAGATCATGAGTTGGGAATACAGTGAGCCATACTGAAGAATATAAGCTTCATTCACAGAAAATCAGTTACTTAAAAATGACAAGACATTGATTTAACCTTTATAGCTTTTTAACCTTTATGAGAAGTCCACAGAAGCTATCCTATGAAGTAATACTTTGAAAGTTCCCACTTTAATTCTTTTTAACATTTCTTTTTCACAATTTTATTTCTTTGTGTATACACTTGTTTCACATATTAGGATTTTGCCACTAAAGGGTTTTAGGTTACAATGTAGCAAAACAGCAGACTTCAAAAATTTAGCTAAAATTCACATGAAAGATCTAGAAGACATTTTAGAAGAGTGCACATCTTAAATATGTTAAAAGTATAGTGTAGATTAGTAACCACAGAGAATTTTCCAATTCACATTTTAGATAAGAATACTTGTTTTGTACTTGGAACCATAAGGAACACGGAACATCTAGTTCAGGATCCACCATGAAGCTGAAAAGAGAAAAGCAAAATTTTAAACAGTGGAAATAATTGCCAGGGTGTAATCATTCTTAAAAAGACTATTTTCTCCCACCTTTATTCTGCATAATTATCTTTCAAGTCACTATTTCCCGACTAAGCCAAGATTGAACTCTTTCTGTGCAATATTTGTACCAGATTTTTTTGAACTTGGTTATAGTCTAATTTCGCCATTGTCATTATGAATGAATAGAGCTTATCTGGGGCACTAATATCATAAATGTCCTGAAGATGAAGTCATGTTGTTGATGTTTTAATCTACGTAGTACTGGCAGAAGTTTGGGGATATATGATACTTCTACATAACAATTTCATAAAGATTGGGTATAAGCAAGGGGATGTGTTTTTTAGTAAATCTTTATTGTAAGATTGAAAATGTTTTCCCCAGTGAATATAAATGTCCCAAAGACAAATCTATGGAATGCTGGTGAGAAACAAATGGAAAGGATTAAAACTTGTTTTCAAAGCTGTTTAAGTGATGTGCTAGCTGACAACAGGATCTTATTTTCTTGTGTATCTTCTTTCCTCATAACCACAGGCCTTTCTCCTTTGCCAAGGGATATTCTGCTCCACAGACTGAATTCTCACACTTTGGGTGTTTTATGATGGCTAGTGGACATATTCAGCCATACTCTAGTATGACTCATTTTAATTTTATATTTGAGAGTTCATAGGAATATATTTTGGTTTGTATTTTCATAGCTGGGTACAGTCTGGTTTTGCTGATTTATTAAGATGTATCTTAGGTAAACAGCTTAGAAACCTAATAAAAAAGCAATCTTACAGAAATCATAATTTGGGAGTTAAAAATACAAACCTAATCTCTGTATAACAGCTGTTTTTTCAGATTTTTTTGTAGGTCTAAACGTGTAATTGTTTTTATTTTTAGTCTTCATATTACAGACAAAATTCATAAATGTTTATTAAAAATATAAGAAGTCATATGGCCATTAAAGCTAAATATTTATAAGCTAATTACAGCTGTTTGTCAACTACTGCGATTTATAAAACTTTTCCTATTAAAAATAAGAAATACTGATTACCTTTGTAATTTCTTACTTCACTGAGTTTATAGAATTGTCTAAGTTAGATGGGTACTATTTCTGCCTTGGTATTTTCCCCAAGTACCTAGAATACATAATATGTAATTGTGCCCTAAATGTAAGTTATTTGCTCTTATGAATCTTTAATCAAGTTTATTGGTTATAATTTACATATAATAAAATCCATCCTTTTGATGTAAAATAAATGATAAAATAATAGGATGCCCCAAACAGATTTAAAGAATAGGGGTAAATCTTGTTTGAGGGAGATTTAAAAAATGGGTTAGAAATCAAATCTTTCTTTTCTTCCAAATTTCAGTAGTCACTGTTGAAATTAGAGGTGATAAGAAAATTAATGCAAAATAGGGTAGCAAAAAAAGGCATTAAATTGTATTGAATTTGGGCTCTGAGAACAAGAACTGAACCAGTTTGAGGCCAGCCTTTCTCTCTAACTTAGGAAATGCCCTCAGAAAGAGTGGTAAGAGAAATTTCAGCCATATTCATGGCTTTCTTATTTGAGGACTAAATCCGAGATACACGGTAAGGGAAATTCTACAAGTGTACCATCTCTAAGCCCAACAGACCTGTTCTTTAGATCCAAAGTAAGTGAAGAGCTAAAGCTCAGGCTGAGATGGTAAGTCTGCTGACTGGAAAGCAGTCACACCTGGTCTCTCTTGCCTTTAATTCCAGAATTTATCTTTGCACTTTCTATTATTCCTTAATCCATCAAAATCTACCTTAAGTTTTAAATTCCTTCCAAATTCAAAACTATTCTCTTGAACAGTGACCTCTTGTCCAATGCAGTTCTCAGTCCCATTCTCTGAAGTCCCATTCACTGTGCAGGCCCCTGAGGAGCACCGTGCCTTGCATGTTACTCCTCTTTTGGCTTCCTCGCTACTCAACTACTCTGATTCTCCTACCTTTCAGTGGTTCCCCTCAATTTCCTTCATAAAGGAGGCTTTTCCCCTCACAACCTTGTAAATGAAGGCATTTTCCTAGGCTTCTGTCAGGTATTTTGTTCCTACAGTATACCCTTTCTCCCCAAACCTGGGCTTCATATAGCTTGCCATGGTTAACTCCTGAAACTCACTGGCAAAGGGACTCCTGGTAGCTACTGGTCAGGTGCCACCTTTTTCCTGGCCTATGTTATTGCCTATCTGACCACTCTCTCTCCGTGGCAGCCACCTTTCTCCATCCTGCCAGATACTATTGATGAGAGCATTCATTATCCCTCTCAAAAACCTTTAATGACTTCATATTACTAAGTTCACACACCTCATATTTTCAACCTCATTTCCTATACTCTCTTCTCTCTCCACGTGTATCAAATAAGAGCCTTATGCCAAAGTCTTACATTTGTACCAATTAGCCAAGCCCATTTAACATTTCTTGGATTTGTTCACGTGTACAATTTACCTCTGCCAAAGTAGAGGTAAATTTATTTGTCCAACTCTCACCTTTTAAGCGCCAGCTCCAGAGTCCTCTCTTTAAAAAAAAAAACTGTTAAAGAAGCAATCCCTTCTCTAAGTCCAGATGCATATTATGACCATTAGTAATTACTATGTTATGCCCTGAGCTTGGTTCTTTCCTGCAAGTATTGGTCTTTCCTACTGGACAGATAGCATTTCATGGGAAGAGACTCCATTTTTACTTTGTACTCTCTCTAGCTCTTAGCATAATGTTTATTCAAAGTTGGAACTCAAGACTAGTAAACAGACTAATAAGCACCCCAGTACCTAGCACATATAACACTGAGTAAATATATTTAATTGGTGTTTGTTAGGGCAGATGAATGAATGAATTTTGGTTCTCAATTATCTTAAACCTCGGCTAGGCTAGGTTTCTTAGACCATTTCATTTCAGATTTCAATTCTGCTTTCCCCCAATTATAGATATTTTAACAACTATTGTAATAAAAATATTTCTAGCTTAATTCTAACCTGCAGCCTCTGGGCCACACATTTCAAATTAATACATTACAGTAAAGCATTTGAATAATTTTTTTCAAAATGTCATGATTTGACTTGTACTTCAAGTTTGCTAAATTATTGAAGGTGACCAGAAAATGACTAATACTAGGTTTAATATAGCCAGGAATACAAATAGAATCAACTAAGGACTAATGACAATAGAATATATGGATCTCTTATTTCCTCCTCCCACTTTCAGATTTTAAGATATACAGAGAAATAATAATGAAGACAGCACCACTGATTGAGAATGTGTTTGGGAGGAAGAACATACTATCTTTTAAAAAGCAAAAGACTGTACAAAAACACATAGAAGCACAGTGAAACCAGTATAATTACCAGGAACTAGCATAGTAGATGTGAGTTCTGGAGTTTCCAAGAAATCCACGTTACTTCTTTGGAATGTCTTGCTATAATTTGTCTGAAGGTGGCTGTATAAACAATTATAGATTAAGGCTATGCATTTTTATTACAAACTTGCCAAGCAGAGTGCAAAACAGTTCAAATTCATTCAAAATGGCAAGGTTTTGGATGATTTGGATTAAGTGTCTGAATATAGACTTCTTATCATTATCTATTACCCTAAAACAATAAAGACTTGTGTAATTTAACAACTGTCATCAGAAAAAATATTTTAAAGACTTCTAAAAACAGAATACCACTAATTCCCTATAGAAGATAAAAAAAGGAGAAAGACTTTAATTTCAGAAGTTTAAACAGAAGGAAGAATATATTGGCTGTCAGGATGGTTAAAAAAAATAGGATAGCTAAGAAGAGAGACCATAGGTTTTTTTCTCTCTAGGAAAAAAGAAATAAAAATCATCTTAAAGTGTAGGCCTGAGGTACAGAGTTGAATAAGTTTCCTTTAAAAGCTCCCTTTGGTGTTTAAGATTCTTCTGGTGTCATTCTGTAGTATAGTCTTAAAATAGTCTCAAAAATGAAATTTTGGGCAAAATATGTATCAACTAAATTTCCAGGTATTCTGTTACTTTCATTACCATAGTTAAAAACCCTAAATCTGGACTTACTGGAGGGCTATATTCACTGCCATTTATTTTTATTTATTTTTTTTATGGTAGCTTTCATCCTTTATTTTTTTTTACAAATAGTTTACTGTCAAATTAGTTTCCACATAACACCCAGTGCTCATCCCCACAAGTGCCCTCCTCCATGCCCATCCCCCCTCCCCCCCACATCCATCAGTCCTCTATTCACTGCCATTTAAAACTAGAATTGTTTAATCTCAGAATAGCAAACATTTTCTTTATCCATTTTTCCTAATTATGTTACTTATTTGTAATTAATTACAAAGAGGTAGATTTGTTTAACTTTGTGGAATTGACAAATACGTACATTCAACATTTACAAAATGATTTGATATCCTACATATACATTGTAGAATGGTTACCCAGAGAAGTTGATTTGTTTTTAATCTTTTCCAATCAATTTCTATCCCCCCACACCTTTTTGCAGTGCTTAAAGACATTTAGAAAAGTTAAGCTATGATGATCTTAACCATTATATATTTTTATTATAAAACAGCACAGAATTTATGAAAAAATAGAAAGTAAAATTACTTTCTCATCCTTTTCTGTGTCCTTTGTTCACCTGCCCCCCTGACACTTTAGATACCCATGAACCATATCTCTTACTTGAAAACATCAGTAAAATTGTTATACTTAAAAGAGGATAATTACCAAAGGTATTTGTTTCAAGAGGAAAGTGTTTTCTAATCCATGAAATAAATTCCTAAAAATTTGGATTTAGAAAAAAGAGCAAATGAAACATTTTAAGGTATGGAAAGGAAATGCAGTTTTTTCTACAAGTCCTAAAATATGAATATTTCCCCCTCCTACTCTGCCCTCCCCCAAGCCTGTTTATTACTTACCTATTCCACACACTACTGTTCTCCCAAAACTCGTAAATCATGTAGCGAGATTCATTGGAAAGCTTCTGTATGGAAATGCTGAAAGGGAAAAGAAAAGGCATAAGTAGCCACAGGAAATTAAAGACAAGCAGCAAACTACTTTTTCTAGTCATCTCTGTAGGGGTATGAAACAATCTTATCTACTCGTACAGGAAAACACCCATGGTGCCTGCATGAAAAATAAAGTTTCGTGGAAAATTATTTTCAGTATGTCTGTTTTGTTTGACATAATTTTTTAATTTTCTGGTTTAGTATCATGAAAACTCAGTATATTATAGACATCACACATAGAACTTCTGTAAAATTTCATTCCTTTATAAGATTATCTTTGTGTCAGGGTTCAGAAAAATGTGTGCCACTGCCCTTGCCCTCAAAAGTGAAGCTCTTTGAATCCATCCTGTCACTATAGCTCTTTCCAAATTCCTGGCCTTACCCCTCCCTTGGATTGATGGCTTTTGTTTGGGGTCCTGCTGTTAGCCATTTGAGTCCACGCTCCTGCTATACAGCAAGGCTTCTGGTTTGCTAGGGCCTAGTGGTCATCCCCCTCTCCCCACCCCTCCCTCTCTCCCACAGACACATCTCTCAATTTTCTCTGTTCAACTCTGAGAGACTACATTCTAGCCACTAGACATGATTGTAGTTTTTTGTTGTTTGCTTTCCCAATTTAGGCAAGAAAAATTTGTTCCTTGAAGTTCTTTGACCAATCAGAGAGTGGCTAAAAGCCTATATAGTATGTTTTGGAGAAGTTGGGTGGGGATGTGTTAAAAAGACATGTTGAGGTAAAGGCTAGATTTAATCCTGGAGCAATGAACAGCCACCGAAGGATATCAAGCAAGGAAGTGGCATGATTAGAGTTGGGTTTTATTTATTTAAAACATTTTTTTAACATTTATTTTTGAGAGACCGAGTGAGACAGAGCATGAGGGGGAGGGACAGAGAGAAGGAGAGAAAGAGAGAGGGTGGGATACAGACCGAAGCAGGCTCCAACTCTGAGCTGTCAGCACAGAGCCAGGCACAGGGCTTGAACCACTGAACCTGACTGAGATCACTACCTGAGCTGAAGTGAGAGAGACACTTAATCGACTGAACCACCCAGGTACCCCAGAGCTGGGTTTTAAAAGATCTTTCTATGGTGGGTACCCGATGGAGAACAGTCAATACAGAACAGGAATAAAGCTAGAAAGGTGGTGAAATTAATTAGGTGATTCATGACAAAGATCCAAATCAAGGTAGAAAGGTGGGAACAGATTCATAAATTTAAGGGAGAGTACGAGACAAATATAAAGACGCCTTTAAAAAATTAATTCGAGGGCCTTCTGGGGAAGATGGTGGAGTAGGAGGGCCCTAAGTTCACCTTCTCCCATAGCTAGAACTAGATGATATCCACACCAGTGGAAACTCAGAAAATGACCCATAGACTGGCAACACAGCCTCTACAGCTAAATGTATTCCTCAAGGTAGGAATACTGTTGAGGGCTAAATGGACCTTTGGACTGTTGACAGAAGGAAGGGGCCCGTGGTGGTGCAGAGGGGAGAGAAACAGACCCTCACAATGGGAGACGTGCACAGGGAAGATAAATCCCCATGACACCTGTCTTTGAAAACCAGAAGGGCCAAATTTCATGAATTTTTAAAACCAGCAGGACTTAAAGTCTGGAACTTTAAAAATCAGCAGGCGTGGCTCTGGGTGTGCCTGAAAGGCCAAAGCAAACTGAATCCCCACCCTTAAAGAACACAACAAACAGCCCCACTGAGAGCCAGCATAGGAGCAGCAGTTTGAAAAATGGGGTATACTAGAGGAAGATCTGTTTACTAATCTCAGGGCATGTGCTGGAGAGGCAGGGATCACTAGCAGACTTCTCCGGGAACAAAGGAGCAGGCAGGTGCCATTTCTCTCCCCTGCTCCCCAGTATAAACCCAAGCTACCTGTGGGAACCAGGGAGGCATGGATAATCCCTACCTAACTTGCCAATACTCCACATCCTGCCCACCCTCCACCCTCCCTGCCCGTGCATCCCTGCACTTCTGCAGATCCACCCTCTCCAACTTGGCCACCATTCTGGCAGCTGGGGACCCCAAGCACAACAGACTAGCACAAACCTTGCTGACATCACACATCCTGCCTCTGTGCACTTTAACGGATCTGCCCCCTCCAATATGCTCTTGGCCAGAGCCCACCCAAAGCAGAGCCATAAGCTTGGGGGTGTGCAAGGGGCCCAGCACCACTCCAAAGTGACTCCTGCCTCTGGGAGAGGGGAAGATAACCACACATACACCACAGTCCAACTACAGCCCCAGAAGTGGGGTGGGGGGCAGATATCTGGTCTGATTACAACAACGAACAAAACTTTTCAGGGCAAAAACAGCAAAAGTGCTACTACATCTCTGGCAATGCATGCTCCGACCCAACTCAAGCCCAAGGCAGCATGAGACTGGCCCACTAATAGGACAGGGACCAAACACTGCTGACAACAGGCAAAGAGAGCCATTGCAGGTGACTGGACTGAAGGGAAAAATGGCTCCCTCAAAACATTAGGGTGCATTAAACACACATAGGAGACACCCCTGAAGTGCCAGTTTCTGGTAAACGGGACACCGCATTGCAGGGCACTATAGGACTTCTTCTTCATGGCCACTACTTTCGAGAGCAGAAAACAGAGACGACTTTCCTAACACAGAGAGACAAAATGAAGAGATAGAGAAATATATCCCAAATGAAAGAATAGGACAAAGTGACAGTAAGAGACAACTGAAACAAGTAATACATCTGACAGAGAATGTAATGTGTATAAAGATACTGAACAGGACAAGAGTGGAGGACCTCAGTGAGGCCCTTAACAATGAGACAGAAACATAAAAAAGTACCAGTCAGATGAAGAACAGTAAATGAAACTAAATATACACTAGATGTAAACTAGAGGAAGCAGAAAAACATCAGTGACCTGGAGGACAGAGTAATGGAAAGCAAGCTAAATAGTAGAGAGAAAACAATACAAAAGGAATATAGATTTAGGGAACTCAGCGACATCATCAACTATAATAACATTCCCATTATAGGGATCCCATAAGAAGAAAAGAGAAAAAAGGAGTCAGAAAAGTTAATTGAAGAAAAAAACTGAAAAACACTGAAAAAATCCCAAGTCTGAGGAAGGAGACAGAAATTGAGATCCAAAAAGCACAGGAAGCCCCTCATGAAATCAACATAATTCACAAGAAGTATAATAAATAAAATGTCAAAAAGTAGTGATAGAAAATTTAAAAGCAGAAAGAAAAAAAAAGCATTACATACAAGGGAAACCACATAAGGCTATGAGCTGATTTTTCTATAGAAACATATGCATAGATGCATATGATGTTATATACAACTGAATGGTAACCAAAAATCAAAAACCAATAATAGATATGCAAAAAATGGAAAGGAATCCAAGCATATCACTAAAGAAAGCCAACTAATTGTGAAAAAGGAGTAAGAGAAGAACAAAATCAACCATAAAACAAGTAACACAATGGCAAAAATCTATCGATAATTTGAATGAAAATGGACTAAACATTCCAATCAAAAGACACAGAATGGTGGAATGGATAAAAAAAAGCAAGACCCATCGATATGCTGCCTATAAGAGACTCATTTCAGACCTAAAGACACGTGCAGATTGAAAGTGAAGGGATGGAAAAATATTTATCATGCAAATGGACATGAAAAGAAAGCCAAGGTAGCAATATTTACATCAACCAAGAGACTTTAAAACAAATATTATAGAAGAGAAAAAGAAGGACACTAGATAATCATAAAGGGAATATCCAACAGGAATAAATAGTTGTAAATATTTATACAGCCAACATGGAAGTACCCACATACATAAAGCAGCTATTGACAAACAGAAAGTAATCAAGAGTATACAATAATAGTAGGGTACTTTAACATCCTACTTACATCAATGGACAGATCATCCAAACAAAATCAATAAGGAAACAGGGTCTTTGAAAGACACATTGGACCAGATGGATCTAACAGATATATTCAGAACATTCCATCCTAAAACAGCAGAATACACATTGTTTTCAAGGACACATGAAACATTCTCCAAGAATGGATCACATGTTAGGCCACAAAACAAGCCTCAAGGAATTAAAAAAGACATCATATGCATCTTTTCTGGCCACATGCTATGAAACTAGAAATCAACATCAAGAAAAAATCTGGAAATAGCATATAGAGAGGTTAAATAACATGCTACTAAACAATGAATGGGTCAATCATGAAATCAAAGAGGAAATTTAAAAATACACTGAGATAAACAAAAATGAAAACTCAAAGTTCCAAAATCTTTCAGAAGCTGCAAAGGCAATTTAAGAAGGAAGTTTATAGCAGTACAGGTCTACCTTAGGAAGAAAGAAAAATCTCCTAAAAGAGTAAGAAAAAGAATTTAAAAAACCCTAAATCACTAGAAGGAAATAATAAAGTAGAAATAAACAAAATAGAAACATAAAAAAAGCAATAGAACATACCAATGAAACTAGGAGCTGCTTCTTTGAAAAGATCAACAAAATTAATAAACCTTTAGCCAGAACATATCGGGGGTGGGGGGAGGATGGACCTAAATAAAATGAGAAACAGAAGAGGAGAAATAACAACCAACATGACAGAAATACAAAGAATTATTAAGACGATATTATGAACAATTATATGCCAACAAATTAGACAACCTAGGATAAATGGATAAATTCCTAGAAACCTATAACTTTCTTCTCAAAACTGAAGCAGAAAGAAACAGAAAATTTGAACAGACCAATTGCCAGCAAAGAAATTGAATTAGTAAAAAAAAAACCCCAAAAATCCAAAAAAACAAACCGTCCTCACAAACAAAAGTCCAGGGCCAGATGGCTTTATAAGTGGGTTCTACAAAACATTTAAAGAAGAGTTAATACCTCTTCTCAAACTATTCCAAAAAATACAAGAGCAAGGAAAGCTTCCAGATTCATTCTGTAAGGCCAGTATTACCCTGGCACCAAAACCAGATGAAGATACTACATAAAAA